TTTCAGGCTGCTTTAAGGAGAAAAATGGTTAATTAGCATTTTCTGAGATCCTCAGGGGTGTTTCTGTAAAGCATAAAGCACCATTTAACATGTTTGATAAATGTCTCTCCCCCAAGGAAGAAAACACAGAAGTTTATGAGGCCAGTATGCCCTGTGCTCTGTGAAATTCAAAGATTTATTGCTTTTCTCTGGAGAGAAGTAGTTTCGGCAGTAATTCATGGATTCTGATGTTGGTCTGAATCAAGGTACTGGGAACCCATTATCTGCTGGAGAACCTTGAACACATTATGTAGTAATGGTCCTGCTCAGGCAGAACTGCTGGGAGGGCTCAAAAAAAAAAAAAAAATTGTACGTTCTAAATGAATGGTTATTATTTCTACCAAGTTGACTTCATTTAAAATCCTGGGTGTTATCAGGACACGTGTGTACCTACTATGTCCAGTTACTAGAGATTTGTCTCTTGATGGTCTCTTAGCTCTTACGCCTAGATACTATTTTGGACACTAGCTACAGCTCTAAAGGACTCTAAGGAACTGTACAAGCTCACAGGTTTGCCCGTAGCGGGATCAGAATTGACACACTCTGAAAGGGCAATCATTAGGATGGAAGTCACCTGTGGGCCTGTATAAAACGAGAGTTGGGCCTACTAAACCACTATTTGATATTTCTATAATGTGAAAACAAAGTCTTTTCTAGTTGATACTTTCTAAAAGTGAACACAGAACTTGTTATTGTTTCCAGTATTGCAGTGAATGTGACTTAAAAAGTCAAACACAGGGCCAGTATGTTTTCAACTTAACTTCTCTGAATGACAACTGAGTAACACTGGCTCTCCAGGTTGTCAAATGTACCTAGAGGATAAGGCACATATGAGTAACTGTGGTGTATGGCAGACTGAAAATGCCACGAGAGGATGCTGCTTCTGCATGGACGAGGAGCTGGCAAAGACGGGGAAATCAGGGAAGACCCCCAAGGGGAGTGAGTCTCTGTGTTAAACCATAATGAAAAGACAAAGGCAAACTTGGCAGAAGGAATAGTTTTAAACAAATATGGAAGACCAAAGATCATGTACAGTACATTCATCTGGCTGGAACAAGGCACAAAGATCAGATTAGAAAGATCAAATTACAGCAAGCCTTGAACAGCAACGGGAGGAGTTAGGCTTTATTCTCCAGGCCACGTGGTGCCGCTGAAAGTTTCTGAGCAATGAGGAATTGAGTAGTTCTTTGAGAAAAGTCACCCGATAGCCATATGCACGCTGGATTAAAGGAGGCAGTGAATGCTGCTAGCAGGCTATGTACTCTCTGGGGGGGAGGCCAAGAGGACAAAAACTATGACAGTCAAAGTGAGGATGTGACAAGAGAGACAATGCAGAAGTAGATTTGACCCAAGATGGCTATCAAATGGAATCCATGTGAGTCAGAGAAAGATCATGTAGAAAATATTTTACTGTACAAAATATAAACAAAAACTTCATGTGGTACCTCTGGAGCTGAAGACAGGAATGGTTTTATGTAGATGTTGGAGTCATGCACCTTCAGGTCATGGTCCCCAAGTCCCCTGGTCACTCCAATAGTTGCCATTACCCGGGCCTAGGAGTGCAAGCAGAGGGTCATCAGAAACACGCACACACAGTGAAAACATCCCGCCACACGACTGCTGCTATAGGCCGAGTGATGAAAGAACTTTCCAGTTCTTCATGTCCACTTTCCATGTCCCCTGCTGTTAACTTAGGTGGGCAGTTGTTAGAAAGGCCTCATGAAAAATCAATTCTGTATTTGGGTTTTCTAGTTATCCTAAACTTATTGGGTTGCTATTTCTTCTCAGCTTTCTTCATATAGACTGGGGAAGTGCTCAGTAAACTAATTCCAATGTATGTGTGATATCTACAGTTGCTGAAGTCAGTTCGTATCCAACACAACAGCATCCACACATCCACTCACCCTTCTGTAACACAATTCTTTACAAATATTTGCTGAACCTCAGTTATGTCTGAGATAAGCATTACCAAAAGATGTAAAAGTTCAGAGACAATGGCTATCCTCCTAAAGCCCATGTATTAAGTTTATGGATGAAAAAAATACATCACTATCAACTCTGTGATCTATCTTTCTAGCATTCCTACAGATGCCCACTAGTGCTATAGCTCCTCAGAGACTGACAAGCTGAGACCTCATGCTTTCTCTCAACTTTTTAATGAATGGTTTAAGGAAGCAAAATATTGTGCTAAAACCTACAGAGTCATTTTAAATATCTCTTTGGATGCCACAATTTTGATTTACTCAGACATTTATTGAGCATGTGCTACGTGCAGATACCATGTGGTGGGGGCACAAATGTCTAAGGCCTCATCCTTACAATAAAGGAAGTTGGTAAGGGAAATAAGAGGCACTGCAAGTCTAAGGGATCACATACAGACATGGCTGCATGCTGAATGACACATGAACAATGGGTTATGTGAGCTCTGGAAGAGTGGTACAAAGCTAAGCTCCAAGAATACACAGCACCTAGGCGAGCAGACATAGACAGATGGAATGGAGCCCAATGGCTTAACCCTGAAGTCATCGGTAACAGCCTGTGTAATGTCATCATTCAAAACCCAGAGCTGGAATCCTCCATTACTTAACAATATAGACAATGAATGTCTAATATTTCATAGAGGTGAAGACGAAAAATAAATGCTAAAAAGCATTTACAATCTAACCATTACCTCCATTTTTTTTCTCACTTTCCCAAGACTCAGATATTTTGGAACCAGTCTCTAACCAGAATGTAGGTGGAGGTTATATTAAGGTAGAAATAAGGCCATGATATGTTTTCCTAAGGGCCATGCCAAAGGGCATAAAATGCAGACATGAGATGTGAAGCATGGGGACCAGAGGTCGGGCAGGTTGCAGAAACCCTTTGCTCTGCTGGCAGGCTGGGCAGGCTCTGTTGCAGCAAAGAAGCTTTCAACTCTAAAGTGAAGATTCTGGGTTCCTTGAAGCCCCTTTGTTCTCTCCCTGCAATAGCAGCTTTTCTGGCTGAAAAGAGCACATGCCTGTGCTTTAGTCCAAAGAAATCTAACATTCCTGCTAGCAACTAAACTTGTTTACAAAGTATACAGGTGTTACCCATACAAATCCTTAAAAGCATTTCTGGAAATAAAAAGCAACAGCTGAGAAAGACTCAGAGGCTCCTGGAAGAATTCAGAGAGGAAAAGAAACAAAAAACCAACTCCTAAGGACCTAGACAGCATTCTAAGAAATCATGGAGTCCTCAGAGTCAGATGGCGTGCTTTTTGGCCACAGCAAGCCTACCAATAAAAGCAAACAGAGACACAGTGGCTTTTAAAAGGCCAGCAGATCCAATGACAGTACCTGCTAGCTGCTCATCACACAACTGCCAAGCTTTAATTAACTGAAACGATTGAGAAATGTGATGTTTACATAAGTGAACTTCACTTTTTACTTAACTGAAAAACCCTTGATGTTTTATATCTCACTGCTGATAACATTCTAAGAACATGTTAGTCCATTTTTCTGTGCATTAAGGAGAGCATAATAACTGAACGGCTTATTTAATACTTAAGAATTTACTGAAGGTGTGCCATGTGTCAGGGGCCAGGCCAGGCAGGTCTAGGGAAACAAAGATAACAGGATGTTGTCCTGAGCTTACTGGAACTCACAGGGTCAAGCATGTAATAGGAGAATCTCAGCCCCAAGAACTGCAGCTGCTGGAGTCTGGTCATTGTACTGACCGATTCATATTAATGGTACCCACTGGACTAAGGAGCACATGTCTTCCTGTGATTCTCAAACCAGGGTTGTAGTGGAATGGGACAATGGTTCATAAAATGACATGGTCAGAAATATCTGTGTTTTGTTTCAATTCGTAAGATGCCTGCTTCCATTAAAATCAGCGCTGCACCACACTGAGGGCAAAACTGAATCCTTTATACCTATATTTTCTTACACAAACAGACACACACACGACCCATACACATTCTGCTCAGGGAGGCATGCTTTGATTTTCCTGTGAGTCATTTCTTCTTGATAAAAACTACTGAATGTTGAAAAAAAATTTAGTTGAAGATTCTTCTTAATATGACCCCATTTTTCTCTTCTAATTGGAACTCAACATTAAGTTGAAATGTACTAATGTTCAGAGGAATACTGAATGATTCAGAAGGTATTTATTCCAACTGAGAAGTGGGCTTAAAGCTACCTCATCTGCATCCCAAGATTTCAATCTCCTACAGAGATCTAAGTCTTCCTTAGAGAGATCTACAACATTTTGAAATCTGGTTCAACCTTGCACTACTCAGTGTTTGCTTCTGGGAGATGTTCATAGTTTTTGCTACTCTAGCCTGGGCTCTGGTTGACGTGATCTTATAGTTTAATTACAGTGAAGCTTAGGAATTCCTTCCCTGCGGCAAGTAGAAAAGCAGACCTGCAAAGTATGGTGGAGCATGAGAACAGTGGGAAAGGATGGAAAGTCACAGCTTGTACACCTGGTGCTGCCCCTTGCTGACTTTGTGCCTCTGTCTGATGAGCTGAAACCTCACGGTTGCTGCTGCCTTCTCTACCAAATATAGGTAGCACTGCAAGCTTAACCTGCCTCTTCGCTGGCTGTCAGATATAAAATGCGATGATGTATGTGAAAGTGGTCATGTTTAAACACTATAAAATGATACTCAAATGGAGTGGATAGGGGATATTATTTTCACAAAATTGACTTTCATTCCATGTGTTCATAGCCCATCTCCCTCACCCCCTAACTCTTTGGACCCTTAAGACAGGCAACCTGAAGGGTGATGGATATGATAGTATTTCAAGCTGTCAAGGTAGTAAGATGCTGAATGGTGACTGGAACACACAGACTGCCAAGGGCTATGCAGAACAAGGGACAAGATCTCTTCCTCTCCATCCAGGAAAGCACGCGTGCCTACCTTCTTGCCTTCGCCATATATAAGGGGAAACTTCAAGTCATCATCCTCAATGGTTTTGTATGCCCTGTAGGGGGATAAACAACATTTTAAAAGAATGTTTGCACTCAGTTAGTGACCCTCTGGCCCTGACACAGGCTGCTAGGCACTTCATTTTTTCCATTCACTTGCCACACACATATCCTTAGATAGTTGTTCTCCCGTGTGTGTGTGTGTGTTTTAGTAAAGTAGAGAATACCATCTTTGTATGCTTGAAGAGAAAGAAAATAAATTGGCATGTTCATAATTAGAGATAAAGGGAGATGGACTCCTGTACTAAGGGTCTGTGTAATGAGGTGACCTAACCACAGTGACTTGGCCCTATGGCAAACAGAAGTGAGAAGCAGCAGAGGCCCCAGGCGGATGCAGTGTGAAACTGCTGCAGGAGCCAGTTCTCACCTTTGGGGCTGTTCCTGCCAGGACGTCCTTCTACTGAGATACTTGCAGAAGGCACGGTTAGAAGCTGTTTGACCTCAGGATGATATTTTAAGTTGACATAAAAGATTTTGTTTCACATTAGCTTTTAGACAGCCATTCAGCACATAGGAAGAAAATCCAGTTATGCTTCAAAGGTTTATTCCAGACATGGTCATTCAGATGCCACAACCAGCAAATGAAGCCTGTGCCTTGCAGTTTTGCTTATAAGGAGTTAAAAACAAACAGGAAAACAAACATACACTGGGTTCAGTTATTAGCTTATCACCCTAGGCAAGTAGCTTTGCCTTTTTCATTTTTGGTTTCCTCATCCATAAAATGAGAATTATACACAGGATAAAAAACAGCTTAATACAGAGTCTGTCTTTATTAAGATCCCAATTAGTAACAGCTGTTACTAGTAGTTATTAGATCATGAATACCTGGCACAAGAGTTCCCCTTTCTGCAAAATGGGGATGTCACCACTTATTCGTTACCTGACATGGATGTTCTCTCTAGACCTCAAGATTCTTTTACTCAAAGAAGACAAAGTAGAAGGTGAGCTAGATTAGGTGGTAGAAGTTGATGTTTTTCTACAAGTTTCCTGCGTGCGCGGAAAACCTATTACATGGCATCTCAGTCCTGTATACACTTAGGCAATTTGAGAGGGAATTGTAAATTAAATTTATGGAAGTTTTTGATATAGGAAAGACTGCAACACAATTTAAAAAGTGTGCAAGCCCAAATGCAAAGCAAGTATATCCACACTGTCTCCGAAGCTATGTGACTAAGTTGTTCCTTCCCAGAGGATAGATAATCAGTAAAGATTTGGCATCTACTGCATGTGGGCTCAAGTTTAGTTCTGGCCAACTGCGTGGGCATTGTGGACCTCAGGATCCTCATTAATCAAAAAAGGCCCCAACTGAGACTCACTCCTGGGGTTGCCAGTAAGTTCTCTGCACATGCTATAATTTCAGTGAAGGTTAGTTGTTGCTGCTACTCCAGTGAAGGTTATCTAGGAATTGAATTTTCAAAAAAGGAACTGTATTATTTCTTTCCGTCAAATCTGCCACATTAACTCAAAGTGGATAAAGCCATTTGGGTGTTCTACAGACTCACATGAGCTATTTAAAATACTGGGATCCACAAGTCACTTGGAACAGAGCTATTATTAGAATCTATTCACAGCTTGGGGACTGACCAAGTTTAGAGACCAGAGGGTCCCAACCTTGGCTGTTGTACCTCCTGGAAGGGCTTTAAACCCTTCTTATGACCACAGCACATCTCAGAGCAACTGAAGCACAATCTCTAGGGATGAGTCTCAGGCTTCAGTTTTTAAAGCTTCCCAAGGGATCTGATGTGCAGCCAAGGTTGAGATATCTGTTGCAGATCCAGCAAGCTAACATTCAAGATGTGTTAGGCAATAAGCCCCTCATCAGCCTGACTCATAAGAAGACCGTCTGCAGCCTCCAAGGAGTGGAGGTAACGGCCTGAAAGGGCTTGAAATGACCACGAGCAACACTTAGGTAGGGGGAGGTGTGGGAGAAGAGAGGCCCAGGAAGGGCAGGGAGTGTGAGGACCACAGCCAGGGAAGGGCTGGCCTTGCCATTCAGCCACAGGGCTCTGGAACTAGACAGGATGCAGAAGGCGGCAGCTCCAGAATAAAGCACAGGTCATTACTTAGAGCAAAATAGAGACGGGCTAAGAGCATTCTTAAGTGGCTTGTAAAAGGCAGTGAGAAAACCATTCTGTAACTTGGCCACAAGCCTACGTCATTGAATTCTCCGGGGGCAGAGGTTTTGGGGAGCATAAAATCCATGTTACCACAGCTCTGAAAAATAAACACTTGTTTTGGAGTTGTCATCTATGGGACCAAGACAACCACAGATTTTAATATATTTTAGTTTCCATTTCTTTATCTTCAGGAACAACAAACAATTCAAAACACTAATGATAATCTTGGAAAAGAAAGGTTTCTTCTATTCCTGCCAGTGTTGGTTTTTTTGTTTGGTTGTTGTTATTTTTCATTTTTTTTTTCTGGTTCTCGGAATCAAACTCGGGACCTTTCACTTGCCAGGCAGGTGCTTATGCTACTGAGCTATATCCCTGGCCCTCCAGTGTTGGTTTTCAATCAAATATGAACCCTCCTTTCTCCTCTAGCAACAAATGACAAGGACAATAGCTACAAATAAGGAGAGAAAGCAAAACCCATAAAAGTAGACTTCCATTCAGTGAGAAAATCTTAAGTAATAAAGCATTAATATTTGGGCTGGGGGTACAGCTCAGTGACAGAGCATGCACTTAGCATGAGTGGGGCTTTGGGTTCCATCCCCAGCACCAACCAGCCAACCAACAACAAAACATCTCAACAGTTAAAACTATAAATCTGATGAGACTGTGTAAATTAATAAGAGTTAAAATAATTATAGCAGCTATGATTTATTAAGCATCATCCACATATTGGACACTGAGCTTGGTACTTATTTCTCATATTTACAATCTCTTGGGAGACCCTGCAATGTCCTAACTTACAGATAAGGGAACTGAGGCTCAGACAGATTCATTTATGTTCTCAAGATGTTATACCAAGTTAATGGCCCTAAAATCAGACTCAGGCTTCCTCAGAAAACACATCAAAGAAATGCACCACCAGCATTCAGCTTTGGACATCTCATTTGGCAGAGTCTGAGACAAGATCACTACAGTCTACCATTCAATGTGTGGCCAGCACACACTTGATAGCAAAAAAGAGGACTTCTGGCAAATAAGGAGAATTTTCTGCACAAAAGGCAAAGCACAAAAAGTGATCATGTGGGGACAGAGCTGGTGGCTGCTGTGCTGTAGTATCTAGAGGGCAGAAGGGAGAGAAGTAAGCAGAAGTGATGGCACATGCTCTGAGACCTGCAGCTGCTTCTCAGGCTATCTCACCCTGGAGGATACAGCCTAGTGGTGTCCCACAGAGAACGCAGCTCCCTGAGCTCTGCTGTGCGCTGAAGGCGCCACCCCACTTGGCCCCTGCCCACTTGGCAGGCCTGCCTGTCATTCTCTTGAGGGCCATGTGTAGGCTATCAGCCTGACTGTGCTGCAGCTCGTCCCTGGCGTTCATCCTTCTCCTGGCAGGGAGGTGAGTGCATCAGAGAGAGGTCTGAAGCTCGAGAGCTCAGGACAAGGAGGGACTTTGGATCTGAGATGAACGGAGAATGTCTGGCATTGAACCAGTTCCTTACGCCAGTTCCCAAGGTTTTTCAAATACTGATTTAAGAAAGGGGGGAAAAAACCCTCCAAAAAACAGATCACTCTTTGGTTTTACAATAATATAGCTGACTAGAGATCATACACCAATAATTACTTATTATAAGACAGCAAAACTAAAAGGCTTAGGAAAATTTTTTTAGAATACTCTTATTCTGGGTCAATTCCTTTATGAATATTTATGAGGCCAATTGACCAAAGGATCAGATGAGAAAAATGCAAGGCTTAAAAAGGGTTGCTAAATTCTTGGTTTTCCCTAACTCAGAAGCATTATTCTCATAAGTTTCCATTAATTTCTTTTCAAGTAAAGTTTCTTTTGGAATGTTGATAATTTTGCAGCTAAAAAAATGAGCTGCTATTGTTCTGAGCACAATGTGGGGAGAGAAGTTCAGCACTGGATAAGACTGAAAAGCCATGAAATCACCTCTGCAGCTGCTACAACACCTCTCCTGCGGGTTCCAGGCCTCTCTAAAACAGTCTGCTGTAGAGAGCCATTGTTCCTACCCAATGTCAGCCCAAACAACTGGAGAGCAGAACTGGGAAATCTTTCTTTCTTTCTTTTTTGGTCTTTTTCCTTTTTATCGGTACCAGGGATCAAACTCACAACTGCCTGCTTCCAAGGCAGGCGCTTATGCTGCTGACCTAAACCTCCAGCCCCGGGAAATCTTTCTTAAACTGACTCAAACTCACTGTTATATTTGGTCTGCCTTGTGGGGATGAAATAAACCCAGTGTCACTTCTGTATGAGTGCTCTGCAAATATACAGAGGAGCTATTTCAAACTTTCTTCTACCCTAGTTTTTCTCAGGAGCTGGGGGACCCTCCTCCACCATTCAAGTCACCAGTCATTCAATAAATGGTGATTAATCAAGCACCAAATACTGTATCCTCAAAGAATGATAGTCAACACTGAAAATACTTAAGGTGTAGTTGAAACAAGAATGAAATTACTACTTCTTTTGATTTGGATCTTACCTCTTTAAAAGAAATTGTGTGTGTGTGTGTGTGTGTGAGAGAGAGAGAGAGAGACAGACAGACAGACAGACACAGAGACAGAGAGACAGAGAGACAGAGAAAACAAAACAAAATCACACACACACAAATATCCCAGTTCACAAGAAAAAAGACCTGAAGAGGTTTTTGTTTTGTTTTGGGTCAGTGTCTTATCGTCTATACTGACACAATGGATATTTATTTTACTGAGAATTGAGGACTTCATTGCCTTTATTGATTTTTATATTATTAATATCAGTTCATTGTTCGAGTCCTCTGAGAGGTTTGTGAGTTTGGATACTTTCATCCAAAATATCAGCTTTCCTATGCTATGTAATATAAAATTTGGTAAGCAGTTCTGTTCTTCTTATCCAGATTGTTGGAAAAAAATGTTCAGTGGAACCAAGCCATTAGAGACTTTCTTGTAGGCTAAGTTACTTTAAAAATGGGTGTATTAGTATCTCTTGGAGGAAAGTGAGTATGATTTAAAAAATCATATTTGACATTATAAATCTGTCTCATGGACATGAGAACTCTATTAGTTTCCTTTTTTAATATAAACAATATATAAGAAAAAGCTTAGTAGAATCTTGCCCCATGGAAAAGCAGTGGAGATAGGATCAACAATGGAGGATAGACACTGAAATTAATACTGAATCAATTAAGTGGATGTACTTAAGGGTTTAATAAGCTAAAAAAAACCCACGGATCTACATAGAAACTGTTCTCATCAATTTTGACTGTTGAGGGTTAGCTCTCAGGTTATCCAGGAAACAATTTAATGGACCCATTATCCACTCAGTGTTTTTCTATCATGTCCAAAAGGCTTAAGAGAAGAAACTATCAGATTTCTTACAAAATCAAAATATATCCATGTACACTATGTCTCTGCTCAGCCAAAAACGAAATATTTCTTTCCAAAAAGGAAATAGTACTAGCTGACCTGAGTCAATAGTGTACATGAGATGGCTCCTTAGATTCCGCCACCTCCAGTGGAAGCTGTTCCTTCAAACTCCTCTTAGTCTTAAGGGACTAAGGGAGGGAGGTAGACAGTGTTTGCCTTTAACCCCATGAGGGATGAGAGTCGCTCAGGGCCGCAAACCAGACCCTCCGATCTGCCCGCACAGCCCAGCCTCTCAGGCCCTTCCTGTTGACTTCCGCCCTGGCTCAGCGTACCTTTTTTCTCTAGTTTCATCAGTTATACAGATTTTGAGGCTGCTTCGGGAATCCTGGCTCTATAACTCCTAGCCACTTCCTGATGCCTTTTTCTTTTCCTCATTGGTAACCTGCTCAAGTAGTGGCCTTTACCAAGAACACTGAACATTGGAGATCCAAATTCTGAACCATCTTCCCCCTCTTACACTCAGGACAGTTCCTTTCCTTGGTTCTGCTGTGGTAACTACCTTCTGGCCACACTTCTTCTTGATCCAGGCTCCGCTTGTCCTAACTCTTACGCTATTTTTCTTGCTAGTGTCCTAGAGCTCTTCATCCTCTTGATTTTGCAGTGATACTGTATTTTGTCTACTAACATTACATCAAATATTATTTCCACAAATTCACAATCGTCAAGTTTTCACTGCTACAGGTGGTCAGAGACCTGGCACATCGTCCCTTCCTACACAATCACCGCTGGCTCCCACGGCCTCTGTGTGGTAATTCAGGCAAGGACAACAGTACTGGGGTGGGATCACTAGGGTGATGGCAGCAAGGGCGTTGAAAACTTCCCAGATTTGTGCTCAGAGCAACAAGAATAATTACTTTAAAGTGTCAGATCATGTCATTACCTTAAGCAAGCCCGCAATGGTTTCCCATCATGCCATAAAGCCAAATAATTGAACGCTTTTCTTTAAAATTGCCCCCTTCCCCCAACTTTCCTAGTCCCCTTCGGCTTTACTTTTCTCCATAGTAGCTACCACCACCCAACAGTTAAAACATCTTACTTTCCTTTCTATTTCTTTTCTCCACTGCTTCCCCGAACTCTTTGGGCTGTGAGGATGGAGACTTCTGTCTCAGCAGGTGAGGCATTCCTGGTACCTACGAGAGTGGCCCACACATTTATCAGTGTCCAATAAACCCTCAGCTGAACCAACCCATGCAGACCGCCTTCCTTGCGTGGAGGCTTTCTTCTGCCTCAACTCACTTTCCTTTCCATACACACTGACAGAACAAAAGCCAAGAGCCCCAGGCGTCTCCCCTGCTCTCTCAGACTACGGGGCTCTTTGCTCCCGCTGACAGGCTCACGCACCTCTTTCTCATCTCTGGCTTGACTTACTCGGAGCTGCGAATCAGAGCTTGGTTCTGGCGGTGATACCTATTACTTTTGTATTACTGATTTACATTAAAATTTTAGGGTCTTCTTTATTGACTATATATGAATAGTCATACAGTGATAGCAATGCAATTTATGATCCTCTTGCTATTACTTTCTCCAGATAATTCCTAAATTCACCTCAAAGTGGTAAAGTTTCATTTAATTTTGGTGCTGGGAATGGAACTGAGGGTCTTATGACTGCTAGAGAAGTGCTCTACTACTGAGCTATATGGCCAAACTGTATTGAAAATCATAGTTGTTTACAGAGTATTTGCTTTTCTATATAAGCTGAGTTTGAAGGCAAGTTTCTCATGTAAGAAGTTCTTCTTAGGTTGGGCATGGTGACACATATCTCTAGTCCCAGATACCCAAAAGTCTTTGGCAAGAAGGATCACTTGAGCCCAGGAGTTTGAGACTAGATTGGGCAACACATGAAATCTGAAGGATGAGGAAGAGGACAAAGGGGAGGAGGGGAGGAAAAGGAGGAAGAGACAGAAGAGAAGTAGGAGGAGGCAAAAGAGGAGGAAGAGGAGGCTGAAAAGGAGGTAGTTCTTCCTAGCTTCTGCTGGATTCCTCCACTCACAACCAGTACCCCTAATTCTGACTTCTTGATTCACAAGGCCAGGAACCCAGAATTCACACTTTGGCATCCACTACATAGTTTGCTTCCCACGATCGCCTTTCTCTTCTAAGTCATGACCTTCCACTAGAAAGAGGAACAGAAAAACCATTTGTTTCCCTAAGTCTTAATTTCCTTAGCAGGACTTCAAAGTCACTTAAAAAGAATATGATCCCTTCTAGGGGAATAAAAGGGCTCTCCCCCTTCGGGAACAGCATAATCTCAACTATCCCCACACAGAGCTCCAGTGACATGCAGCAGTGAGTCACATTCTTCCACTAACCTCTCCACATTGCCTTGGATGCTGCTCCTCCCTGGGGATCTTTCTTCCTGGATTCTCTCTTCCCTCCTGGCAGAGCGCACTGTGATATATGAAGGCACACCAGGTTTGAAGTCAGAGGTCCTGAAGTCACATTGCAGTCCTCACGTGAGCTAGCTGTGTGAACTTGGGAAAGTCCCTAAAATCTCCCTGAATTTGCTTCTGCAATTGGGTCCTTCAACTGGATACTACCAAGGATTAAGTAAATGCAAATATGCCTGAAAAAGTCCTTTGTGAAGGCCAAAGTGCTACTTGACCATGAGTTGTGGCCATGAACATCACAGGAGCTTAATTTATTCATCAGTGCAGATCAGAAGTTCAGACAACTAGCCCTGAAGCAGAAGACTCAGCACACCCCCACAGAAAACTGCTCCTTGCTAAGTTCCCCCAGCACCCCCAATTTATGCCTTCTCTACCCTTATTAATGATAGCAAGGCATATTGCAACTTTATTCAGAAAAGTCCACCACACTCCTCTGAAGAGAAGCTTCAGCAACTCAGAAAGGTGCATCAGAGCTAACGAAGAAGAAGGTATACATGGGAGACTTTTCCCCACTCACTGGAAGCTCAGTGCTCCTCCAGGAGGGAAAGAAAGCATGGGTGCTGCTGTTTCTCATGCAGCAACCAAGTCCTAGTAAGTACAGGCACGATTCACAGGCCCTGGATAGAGGATGGCGGTCAGGAGCATTTTGGTGTTGGGACCTCATTGCTGCTTTCCTGGTTTAAAGGTTTAAAGGGTTAAAGTCTCCACAATGGCTCCAATCCCTGGAGAACCAGGAAGAAATACCACCCAGGCCTGCCTGGTCAGAAGCTGACACATTGCTGGAGCCTCAGTGCCACTGGTGGCTTTTAAGAGCTTGGGATGACCCCAGTGAAGTAATCCTGGAATCTGTGAGGCTCTCCCCTGACTTGCCTATCCCCGCGCTCCCTCCTCAGACTTTCCTGGAAAAAGCAACGGGGGACTGGCAACCATTTCATGCTTCTTTTTCTCTGCCAGGCATCTGCATTTCCAAATGAATGGAACCCAGAGTCTGCCACTCAGGAAATGGAGGCTGCTTCCTGCTCCTGGAAGAAGCCCCAGCAGGCAGCCAACTCTCCCCCAGCTGCCTCAATGTGCGTGTGCATTTCCTTTAAGATAACACAAGAACATGCTGATATCTGAGTAGGCTTACTATTATTTTTTAAATGTTGCTCAAGATTCCTCCCCTTTTAGCTTTGAAGAGTCACAGTGAGAAAGTTCTCAGAAATTTCTTAACTTTGCCAGTGATTGGAAAATTAGTATGCTGGGAAGATGGAGCAGAGTTGTCAGAGATGGTGACTCTGAGGCAAGCCTATGTGGGTAGAGTGAGGATGGGTCCCCAAGGAATCAGAAGGGGCCAAGAGACATCCCAAGTCCAGCAGGCAGCTTGAAGATTTCAAGTATTCTTTATGTTTTGGGTCAGGCTCAGCTTCTCTCCCATAGATTTAAAGCACAGCAGGCTTTAGTTATCTGTAAATCTGGGGATTTAGCTTAGCAGCATAAGCACCTGCCTTGCAAGCAGGCAGTCCTGAGTTCGATCCCTGGTACTGATGAAAAGTTAAAAATTAAAAAAAAAAAAAAAGTAAATCTAATTTTTTTTTTTTGTCTTTTTATTGGTACCAGGGATCGAACTCACGACTGCCTGCTTGCAAGGCAGGCGCTTATGCCGCTGAGCTTAATTCCCAGCCCCTAAAAAAAAAAAAAAAAAAGTAAATCTAAATTGGAGGAATCATATTTGGACTCACCGAGTTCCTGGATTTACGAGATATAGTTATCTCAGCCGTATGGTCTCTAGGAAAGTTCCCCAATAGGACTGATTTGGGGGTCTTTAAAAAAAATGCTACCTTACTCTCTTCCTTTGGTCCTTGGAGTGTCTTTTAAATTAGACGAAGCTTATTGGCCCTAATCTGTAAACAAGTTTATACCCTCCTGCTAACACGGTGCAATAGTTGGATGCGAGCACAAACAGTATGTTTGACTTGTCGGAGGATGACTGACACTTGGTGCTAAATGGAAGAGGGAGGGCACCAGTCTGGTTCATGTGATGAGAGAGACAAATTCTCCAACTCTTTTGCCACACAGAAGCTGAAGCCTCCTGGCCTCCTCTGTAGGAGAACTCTCCACTCTGAGAGTTAGGTTTACACTCTGATCTTCCAGGAAATCCGGCAACTGGTAGGGCTGGCCCCCCGTCCCCGGGAAGATGCTTGCCTCTTCCCTTGTCCCGTGCATGCTTCAGACAGACCTCGCCTGGCATTGTGGGAGTGGCAACCTTCCTGTCTTTTTGCTTAAGTGATTGCTCTTTCCACTAGGCCTGGCTGACAGAAAGAGGTAATACAGCTGGCTTTTGTTTTAGTGGTGTGTTTTCTGAGGATGCTGATTGGGTTAGAGACAGATTTCTTTGGGATCAGTAGTAAGAAATATATCAGTCTTGCTAAACCACTGCAAATACAAATATATCTTTAAAACAATATTAATCATTACCATGTGATACACATACTTTGGTAGTTTATTTCTAACTTATATTATTTAATTAGTTTAAAATGCTTATCTTTACTTACTAAGTTGATTTCACAACCCACTAGTGGGTTCCTACTCACAGTGAAATTTGGAAACAGAATCTGCTCTTAGTGGCTTCCAAATTAAGAGCTCAAGCTTAGATAAAAGTTCTGAGTTATACTGGAGTCATTCTTCTTCCTTTCCTTTTTTTGTGGTACTGGTGATTAAACTCAGGACCTTGTACAAGCAAGCATTCTACTACTGAGCTACCTTCCCTGGACTCATTCCTAATATTTACAGAGAACCTATTAGGTGCCAGGCATTTTCACAGGAACTGGGTATATGAAGCTAAATAGAGAAAAAATAAAGGAAGTTTCCTGGTTCACAGAGCCAAGTAGAATAGCAGAAAATCGTTCCATTAGGAAAAAAATGCTCTGACTCAGATACTTGAAGAAGAGAAACACATAAAAGAACTAATAATTCAAGGTAAAACATTTGGAATGACTCAGGGAAATTCCAGATTTAGAGATTACTTCTGATTCATTATGTTCTTGGTCTGCATTAGGACCTGGTTCAGAGAGTTTCATAATTAATCCGAAACATTTGGGTTTCCCTAAGGATCTAAATCAGAGACCCTTACTTTATGAGTACCCAAACATGGAGCGAATCAGCTTTCTCTAGGACTATTCATCCTGAATCAAACATGAATTTCATTGACAGGTGCCTTTTATATTAAATGAGACCAAGCCACTATGTACAACTCAGGAGATTACCAAAACTGACACCAGAGCCATTATGGTGAGGGATAAATAGCAGAGACTGTTAGTCATGAGGAGGGTTCCTATAGCCACGCCAGTTCCTCTGCGTGACACTTGCAGTCCTCATTTATAAAATTTCTCCTATGTGTACTCATCCATCTTGCTCACCAGATCTGGAATTGTGTGACTTCTGGGTCCTCCACAAAGTCAACGTCATCACGCAAGTGAACATTTTGAATGGATTCAGAACATGGAGGCAGTCACAACAGCACAAAGGACTTTCAGAACTGCTTCAGACAGTGGCAGGAACAATGGGGTGTGTTCCAAGTGATGGGCAATTAAGGGCAATTACTATAAAACTTTTTTTTAAAAGGTAAACATTCACCATATTTTTTGATCACACCTTACAATGCCTTTACCACAGCACCAAGGTAAGGAACAGAAAGTGAGTATTACCTCTGCTACCTTCAGGAGCCTCCTAAAACTTCCCTATGGCCTCATCACAATAAAGGAGAGGGACAGCTGACAAAACACATTGGTCCTACAAAGAAACATGCCTAGCTTCTTTGTTCCTGCCCTTTGCAGTTCTTATAGAGATTTGTGCTCAGTTCCTCAGGCAGAGACAGTCAGCAGGCTGCCTCTTTCAAGTAATTCTGTAACTGCCTTGTCTGAAGGTAAGGACACCAGGACGCAGGAGAAGACCTTTCAGGATTTGAAGCTAGTAGGGGTCCCTTCAGCTTTCCTGGGTACATTCCAGGAGTCTGCAGCCAGAACTCCCTTATTCTAAGGGTGATGCTTCAGGCTGCAGTGAATTAACATCTCCAAGGAACTGTCTGCTTGAAACTAGTAATATCCATTTGCCACCCAGAAACCTGGTGGGCAGAAAGAGGTCAAAACCCAAAAACCAAAACCAAAACCAAATCAAGACAAATCAAACCAACTCAACTCATCAATTTCTGATGAGTGAAATATTCTAACTGGGGGAGTACTGGTTAGATGGCTCTGAAATTTCCTTCAAACAGGATCCTCTAAAGTTGCAGATTGGTGCATATGTCCTTCTGAATATACTGGTGTGTAGTACCCTTGAGGGCGGAAGATGAAATGGTGTTAACTTTCTGCATTCAAAATTCCCCAGGGGTGCCTCTAATTTACTTACTGAGATGCCTCCTGCAATCTTGGTTCCACACCCTCATTTCCTCCTACTCCTTACTCAAGGCTCCCACCAGGACTTACGCAGCTGACACACACCAATGTAACTGTGTAAGGAGGGTAAACAACATGAAAACACTTCCACAGCGGCTGGCAAATGACTGCCAGTGACTGCTTTCTCCCCATTGCCTGACCTAGCAGTCAATAAAGGGTTAATTCCTGGCACAGCTGGCAGCGTTTGAGACCCTGCTGCAGCCCAGCTGAGCCCATTCCTGTATGCTGACTGTCAAAACATTTTGAGTATTATCTCTGGCTGTCACATTTTCCACTTACAGTATTTTCACCCCTCTGGGCTTCTGCCTATGCTGTGCCCCATGCTCAGGATCCCTGCCACCCCTAACCCACCTGAAACCCCTTGCCAGACTCAAATCTTTGATTCAAATATAGGCTTGTCTGTGAAGCCATTTCTGACCCGAATTACCCCTCAATAACAACCACATTTGGAGAGGGTCATAGAGACAGAGGGAGGGAGGGAAGGGAAATAAAAACAATTATAATGTGTTACGTGCATGTTCCAACTTCCCATGATAAACGTAACTATTATGTACTACAAACATGAACT